TTATTCCCTGCGTTTATCCCGGAGGCATGTGATGCTCTGGCCTCGACTTGATTAGTGAGTGGGAGGGGAAAAAAAAGTAACAACAGCAAATAGTTCTCCGTGCATAAGAGACAGTGGCAGTTGGCACGTGTCTCAACAAACTATCACTGAAGTTATTAATAAGCATTTCGGATGTCAAAATCACAGGGTATTACTTAAGTATAAAGCATGCTATAAATCTCAGGGAGGTTATTTTGCTGGTACTGTGGATGAGACTTGTGCTGTGGGGGAATATCGAGGTGTTTAGGTATTAGACTTGTGAAATTTCTTGTGAAAGGCGATTTTGCAGAGCGCTGCTTCGTGTGCATGGCTTGCCTCCCACCTGCTGGCGCTTTACAGAAACTGGCTGAACGTAGCTTTTGGACTGGCTTGACCCTTATTAAAGGATTATATAAGTTAAGGGTGAAAATGAGCAGTGAGTCAGGTAGTTTAGAGGTTCTCAGCATCTGCTATACCATGACCTGCGAGTTCAGAGCCAAACCTCCTGCAGGTCTGTCCTCCCTTCTTCTGAACTGCAAAGAAAGGGAGATGATGATGATCTTGCAGTGATCCAGTTACTGAGAAACTTTCCTCCCGTCTGCTGGTGCTGTGAGACAGGATTACGTTCTGCTCTGAAATCTCTTAATTCTTTAATCGTGTGACGCTCTGCAGCTTTCCGGGGGGGACGGTTATGTAAACAGTGGTCAGGCTGTTGGTTTAGATTCGGTTTCCTTTCTAATGTCTCATTTTCACCTTTGTGGATCAGACATTTCTATCAGTTCAGTCTTCCACCACGTCCATACCTCTAAAGCAACCGTCATGGAGTTGAACCGTGACCTTGAGTGACAGTTTTATGCTCTCGGCTAAGCACAGCTGCCTTACAGAGACTAAAGCAGGAGATTCCCAGCTACTCTTGGACTGTGTTTAAAGCCAATTACCTTTTTCCAGCTCCTTGGCCTTGTAAAGATCAAATGGTCTGGGATAGTGTTTGCTCCTGCTGATTTGTGGTACTACGGGGAGAGGAACGGGCTCTTCCTCTTGATGGCTCTGATGGATAAAAGCAAACACAGGGAGAAGAAAGTGCAGATTGAGCCGCTTCTCGGCAAAGACATCGCAAGTGATTTGGCTCCACCGGAGCACGTGAGGCTCATAGTGCTCAGCTGGAGCTAAGCAGCTATGGGCTGAGCTGAGCTGTCACCTGGAAGGCTGCTGGATGTGACGAGGGGGACAGTCAGCAAGCACATGGGGAGGGAGAATTGGCCTCCTGGCAGGATGGGAAGGACCATGGTGCATGCAGTGTAGTTCACACTGATGCGTTCTGCTATTGATCAGCTACCCTTAGCTCTTCCCTCTGTGCCAGGAATTACTGCGTTAGCATCACTAGGTGTTTTAGCCAAAGATCTTAATGAAGCTGACAAATTGCTCCCTTCTGCCATCTGCCCTCAGCCCAGCACCCCTGATTTTCTGATAGTTCTGGTGACTTCCCTGAGTGCTGCTGTCCCTGCGGGTGGCACTGCAGCTGTCAGCTCTTATTTACTAAAGCAGCATCGATTATTTTTAGCACAGGCACGGAGCTAATGACTGAACAGCAGGATGGCTATGGGAAACATGTTGGGATCTTCTGCACTTAAAAGTGTCTCTGTGGATCGTGCTGCAAAGTGATTCTGTTTTTTGCAGGGAAAGGGGGCAGGTAGCCCATGTCAGAAAAGACGAGGAAGGATCGATGGGGGCAGTGATATCCAGTGCGATTTAAATGGCAATAACTGTGTGCAGGGTCTTTTTTAATCTTTCCTGTAATACATTTGTCTGAAATAACTGTCTCTGCAGAGGCTGTTGGTAGACCTTCACCATCCAAAGGTTATAATCTCTAGGACTGTTGAGGGTGCTGTTGGCCCCTGTTCTTGGCTGGGTTGTGCCACTGGATCCGTTGCAGCTGCTCTGGCTGGGATGGAGCTTTTCTAGCTTGTGCCTTTCCTCTCCAGGTGATGATCGTGGTGGGTGGGCAAGCGCCCAAGGCCATCCGCAGCGTGGAGTGCTATGATTTTGAGGAGGAACGATGGGATCAGGTTGCTGAGCTTCCCTCCCGGAGATGCCGAGCAGGTAATGGGATCACTTGTGGGGCCTTCTTATGTATCCAGCTCTTCAGGGCTGGACAGAAGGTCCTCGGTCGTTCTTTGAGCCTTTCTCTTTGTGCCTGGCCTCCAGCAGCTTGCTCTTTTGCTGTTCCTTCTTTCTTTTCCCTGAGAAGTATGCATCCTTCAGGTTCAGATGGATGCCCTGCTCTTGAAAGGAGCTTGCTGCATGCCTATTGCCTTCCACAGCCACCATCCCCTGTTTATTAGCTCTCTTGGGGCTGCTCTTCTGTCAGCGTCTTCCCCTCTGTCCCCATCCCCATAGCTCAGTAGCCCACAGGAATCCAGTTGTCCTGGCTACTTTCCTAGTGAAAATCAAAGGAGCCCAGCCAGACCCTCTTGGTCCTGCGGGCTGATGGAGAGCAGATTTGCAAGACTGGGGTTGTTCCTCTAGAGACAGATGGGATTATGGATCCCCATTTGTTGTCTTCTCTGTGACTCAGAAATTTATTCTAGTCTGAAGTCATTCTGTGCCTTACACTGCTGTCTGCTTGTGTGAAGTGCATTTTGCCTTCCATAGGGCATGAATGCTTTATTGTTCTTGGCTCTGATGCTCTCAGCCCACAGGAAATGCTCAAGACTGCGTTCTGCTCTCCCCTTCTGTCTTGCACGCACCGAGCAGCAGCCGATGACGCTTGTTTCCCAAGCGACCGCGTGATCTGCAGGTCTCCCAGCTGTTTGCAAAACCGTCTTAAAAACCTCCCTTCTCTTTTATTTAGGCGTGGTGTTTATGGCCGGCAACGTTTATGCCGTCGGGGGCTTCAACGGCTCCCTGCGGGTGCGCACGGTGGACGTGTACGACGGCGTGAAGGACCAGTGGACGTCCATCGCCAGCATGCAGGAGCGGCGCAGCACACTGG